GGGTCATCCACAGGGGCGCAAAGACTGCTCCGAGTTTCTTAATAAGCGTCGGGGGGGCGTTACACCCGCCGACAGCCTCACATCGACCCCCGTCGCGGGCAGTCTCCGCGCGCCGAAGGCGCTCCGACCCCCGTCGCGTGGCGACGACGAGGCGAGGTTGACCCCCGTCGGGGGGGTACCCCCTACCCCCTAGTGTAGCGGAGGAGGAGCGGAGGAGGAGGAGGAGGAGGAGGAGGAGGAGGAGGAGGAGGAGGAGGAAGGAGGAGGAGGAGGAGGAGGAGGAGGGGCGGAGGAGGAGGAGGAGGAGGAGGAGGAGGAGGAGGAGGCCTCCAACGGGGGCATCCTCAGCGACCTGGGGGAGTTCGTGAGCAGTCAGTCGGAGGATTACATCATAGGTGGGGACTTTAACTTCGGGCCAGACCTGTTAGAAGGCATGGGATTCGCTAAAGCTGTGGGGGGTCTTCTCATCACCACCCCCGATAACACCCACTATCCTTCCCTGGGCGACCCGTCCAAGTTTGACTACTTCGTGGTCTCGTCCCCCCTGGCTAAGGGCCTCAGGGAGGCCAAAGTCCGACTCGACACGACGCTCAACCCCCACAGGCCCGTGTCGCTCACTTTTCACCCCCGCCTGCTTCAATTGAAGGCTCTCGCCTTTCGCAAGCCGCCGCCCTTACCTGTGGACCCCCCGTTCGGCCCCAGGCCGCAGGAGTGCAGCACTGATTGGGATATGGTTCTTGACCTGGTCAATACTGCCGTCGACAGGGTGTCCCTTGGGGACGGTGACGGGGCTGCTGCCCTGCTCACTGAAGGGTACGGTCTCTGGGCGAATAGAGCCGAACTTGACCTCGCGCGGGTCCTGGGAGCCGACCTCCCTGTCTACGGGTCCCGCGGCAAAACTATCGAGACCTTTTGGAAGCCCATCTGCCAGGCCTGTGCTCCGTCCAAGGATCCCGTTGCTCGCGGTCTGAAGTGGTTGGAGACCCAGCTCAAGGCCTTGAGATCTGAGGTTTTAGCCCACAACGTTCCACTGCGGTGCATCAAGGCCTTGTGCTCTACGCCGCCGTGCGCTGGCACGGCTCGTGCCTGTCATGCTGTTCTATTTCAACGTGCCACCAGCTTAGCAGCCTCCTGCGCTGATCGACTGGCTGGTCGCAAGCACACGGCTGTGCGCTCGGCTCCGATCGGAGCGCATCCTCCTCCCCCCGTTTTGCTCGTCGCGCTCGATAATCAGTGTCAGGATAAGGCGGATCGGGCCGTGCGGCCCCCGCCCACTTTCTCGGATTTCGTGGCTGATGTTGATCAGCTGCTCGCTTCTCTCGCGCCGTGCCTTGAGGAGGCCTCTAAGGACTTTGCCAAGGCTAACAAGCGCCGCTGGCGAGAATGGCTCCAGGAAGGTTTGGACCAAGGGGGCAGGCGGGCCCATCATGTTCTAAGAGACCCAACTCCCTGGGTTCCCTCGGTCACCATTGCGGAGAACGGTCAAATCGTGGCGGACCCCAGGGCCCTCCTGTCGGCTGAGGGTAAGCGCTTTCAGACTTGGTGGGGGGAGGGGAGCGGGCCCCCTGTGGGCCCTGTTCGTTTGGTTTCCCCTCTCCCCCGTCTCTCCCCCGATGAGATCCGCCAGGCCTGCAGGACTTACCGTAAACAGAGTGCGGTTTCGGTTGACGGTTTCCACCTGCGCCACTACTCGGTTCTGTGTGACGCCGCCCTCATTGCTCTCTCGGGGCCCCTTTACGTCATCGAAGCCACGGGGAGGCTGCCTGATCAGTTAATGGTTGTGCTCTTGGCCCTCTTGCCCAAACCCGTCGGGGGCTTCAGGCCCATCGGGGTTTTTGTTTCGTGGTATCGGCTTTGGGGCCGAGCCAGGCGGCCCTTCGCTCTGGATTGGGAAAAGAAGTTTGCGAGGCCCTATTGGGCTGCTGGCGCCAATCGGGGTGCTACGGATGTTGTCTGGAGGCAGAGTTTCAAAGCCGAAGCGGGTGTTTCCAAGGGCCTCACTTCAGGGTCAGTCTTTTATGACCTTCAGAAGTACTACGAGAGCATCTCCCTCGATTTCCTCGAGAATCAGTGCCAATGCCTCGACTTCCCCGTTGTTATCACCAGGGTCGCCATGGCGGCCTATCGATCGTGCAGGTTTCTCAGCCTTGGGGGCATCATCGAGGGTCCGTACTGGGTCAGTCGTGGGGTTGTGGCTGGGTGTTCGATGGCCACGTCGTTCATCCGAGTGTTCGCCCTTAAGTCCTTCGATAAGCTGTGCAATGTTCTGGCTATTGGCACTGATTTCGACGCCTACATAGACGACACGTGCCTCTCGCACACGGGCACGGTTCCCGAAGTCGTTGAGGCATTAGTTTCTTCCTCGGTCAGTTTACATAAGGCTGTCACCCAAGAGCTTGGTTGTGTGCTGGCGCTCGACAAAGTGGGATGTGTGTGCAGCCACAAGTCGATAGCTATACAGCCCGAGGAGCGACTGGGAGAGTTGTGCGGCAAGCCCTCGGCCTCAGTGGTTAACTTGGGTACTGACTACACGGCAGACAGGTCTTTACGCACCACTACCCCAGGCTCAAAAAAAGGGTAAATCAGCCAAACTTAAGGCTCGTCAGGCCAAGCTTCTCCGTCAATGCAGGCGCCTTGACAAGCATAAAAGCAACCTGGGCAGGTCCGCCGTTAAGATTTTTGCGTCGGGCCCGCTTGCGGGCGCCACCTTTGGGGCTGAAATTTGGGGAGTCTCGGACCGCGAACTCCACTCGCTCAGGAGTAAAGGCGTGGCCACCATCTCTCCCAAGTCCCAGCACCGTTCCCTCACCACCCTCTCGCTCCTTGAAGGGGACCACCCTTGGAGAGCGAGCGTGGCCCCCATCATTCGTTGGTGCAAGGAGCTGTGGCTTGTGCAGACCAAGGCTTTTGATGGGGCCCTTTCGTTTGCTTCGTTGCGTTCCGCCTGGGAAGTCATCTTCGGCAGTGATGATTGGTCCTGGGCCAAGGTTAGGGGTCCTGTCTCGGCCCTCAGGATGTCCTTATACCGCATAGGGTGGCAGATGACTGACTTCTGCACCATCATCTCGGACCTGGGCGAGACCCTCCAGCTCCTGCTGCTGTCCCCCCGCCTTGTGGGGGTCTTGTGTCGGGCTGCCGTGCTGAGGGGGCCTGAACGGTCTTCAGGGGAGAAGCTGGGGGTCGAGCACAGGCTCTGCTGGGACATTGTCAAATCTTGTATCAGGTCCAAACGCACCAGCCCCAGGGATAGGTCGACTATGCGTGCCTTGGCCTGCAACGCCATCTGGACTGCCAGTTCTGCGAAGCTAGCTGGCTACCAGATCAGTGACATTTGCCAGCGGTGCCACTCCGAGGTGGACACATTGTGGCACCGCCTGTGGGAGTGCCCGTCGTGCTCCTCTGTTCGTGAAGAAATTGCTGAGGAGGAGATTATTGCCAGTGCCCTCGACACGGCAGCTGAGGGGTACGAGGCCACTCTCTGGATATATGGAGCCTTTCGGCACCCTGGTGACTACTTCCCTCGGCCCGAGAGCAATGGTGAAGTCTTGGTCAACTGGATGGTCCCTGAGGTCACTACTCCTGGGTCCCTGAGTCCCATTCCTACCTCGCCTGACCTTGGGGTCTGGGGGTCCTTGTTTATTGATGGCTCGTGCATCCGCCACCCTGTGTCCGAGCTCTGCAGGAGCGCTTGGTGTGTTGCCATGGTGGACCCCGAGGCCAATTTAGTCTGTGAAGTTTCTGCCCCAGTTTGGCCCCCCTACGCGCAGTCGCCCCAGGCTGCTGAGCACTCTGCCTTTTGTGGCATTGGCGTGTGTGTAGGGGGCCAGGCTGACGCGTACAGTGACTGCGCTAATGTTGTTAAACAGTACTCCCTAGGCCTCGATGTGTGCAAGTCTCCCAAGAGGGTTTATTCTGGGCTCATGTTGCAAGGCCTGTCTTTGGGGCAAGGGAAGCTGCGTTCGCTGGCCAAAGTCGATGCCCACCTCGACCCTGATGCCCCAGGTCTCTCTGAGGACGAAAGGTTCTTGAGGAAGGGCAACGAGCTAGCGGACGCTGGCGCCAAGCGTGCTGTCGCACGCCACCCTGCCTTTGACCCCGTTCTGTCTAGGGAGCTCGACTGGAAAATTAGAGTTTCTAAAACGGTGATGTCCCTTGGTGCTGCCCTCCTCCCCCTCCGGCCTCGTGTGGAGTTCCTTGGGGTGGAGCGTGTTCCTCGTTCCCCTGCCCCTGCCGTGCATCGGCTGCAGCACCAATGGGAACTCATCAGCTCAGTTTGGAGGTGCAGAGTCTGCCTCCTAGGGTCCCTCGCTAAGCGCCCGCCAGATCCAGGGGGGTGCAGGGGCCACTCCAGACTCGACTCTGCTGTGCTGGATAGGCTGGGGCATAAAGTCATCGCCCTTGCCTGTTCCGACAATTCATTCTTGTTCACTTGCCTGCACTGCAGGTCTTACAGTTCTGGGGCCCAGGTCAAGAAACTGGGCCAGGTGTGCCAGCCGCCGACAGTCACAGGTCACAAGAACTGGAGAAAGATCCAGAAGGGCAGCCATCCTGACAAACCACATGTCGTGGTGGAGACTGGCTGCTCGTTACCTGTGTCGGCGTCGCTCGGTCGTCTCACCTCATCCCCGCTCCCTCGTGAGCCCCCCCTCCCTACCCCTCCAGCCCTCGTCCCTCCCTTAGGGGCGAGGTCAGGCCAGGCCCATGCCGCTGGAGGCCGGCCCGCGCTGCGAGCCCCGGCAGGCGGGGCCCTCGCTGCCGCGGAGGGGTGGGAGGAGGAGGAGGAGGCTGCGCGTGTTCTTCTTTCGGGGCCTTCCAGGACTCGGTTTTCGAGCGATTCGGACTGAGCCCCGGTTTTTTCCTGCCAGGGGTGTCTCGCTCTGTCAGGTTTAAACCTTTTCTGAGACATAGCCGTTGACGGCAAAAAGAGGAGGAGGAGAAGGCGGAGGAGGAGGAGGAGGAGGAGGAGGAGGAGGAGGAGGAGGAGGAGCTTATCAAGAAACCCAGACTGGCCCGCTTCACGCGCCGCGGCCTGGACGGGGGAGTCGCCGGGCTCGCCGCGCGGGAGAGCGGTGCGAGGGCTCGAGGGCGCGGAGTTTTTCTGCCGCGCGTCGCGCGCCGCAGGGCGCCTGGGAGCGCAAGCCTTCGGAGGCCTGGGCCTCCGAGAAGGTTTCTGTTGATGGGCAAGTCTTCCACCAACCGCTACACCACATGTAGGGCGGGGGAGAAGGGAGGATGAGGAGGTCCTCCTCCTCCTCCTCCTCCTCCTCCTGAGAAGTCTGGGTCCGCGGCGTACGATTCTCGCAGGGGATTTTGCAAGTCGTACCTCGCAGCTCCTTTGCGGGCGTTTCGACGTTGACCCCCTTATCTGGATGTCCTGTCCTGTCCTGTCCTCGTCCTCCTCCTCCTCCCCTGCCTCCATCCTCCTCCACCCCTCCTCCTCCTCCTCTTCCTCCTCCTCCTCCTCCTCCTCCTCCTCCTCCTCCTCCCTCTCCTACCCATGGTAGTGGTGGTGGAACATGTGCCCCTCACACGTTTGTGCACCTTGCTTCTTTTCTCTGCAGGAGACCCCCGGCCGCGCCCGGTGGCGGCGTGGGCGCCTGCGCGGCGCTGGAGTAGCCCGCTGTCGTGGCCGGCGCTCGCCTGCGGCTCGTCCTCGGGGGTGGGCTCCGGCGTGGGCTCCACGGCCGTGCTGTACACTAACCTTCCGTCGGGCCTGTTCCTCTACAGCAGGAGTATTCGAAGCTAGTCAAGAAGTAGTCCGGGAACAGCTTTTTCACATTTTTTGAATCTGTTTTGCATACTTCATTGGTGTATGTTTGATTTTTCGTCCAAAATCCCCTTGGAGGGGGACATGCCCGACCTAACACGAACCTTCTCGACGAGAAGTCGTTTGCGTAAGGCCAGATTTTCGGAGGTCCGCGTGGATTTCTTGCATCGGCGCTGCGCCCCCTCTCCTGCGCCGCCTCTGGCGCGCCCCCGAGGGGTCATGTTTGTGCAGGTTTTTCGTCGCGTGTTGCTATAGGATCGGGCCGGACGAGAGGGGGGGACAGGGAAGGGGGGGGGTACGAAATCTGCTGCATGCAGCTGCCTTCGGCCCCACCGAGGGGCCCATTCCTCGATACGTGGCCGGCTCCAGCGCCGGGAGGCGCCGGGAAAGTCAGCTACGCGAGCTGATTCTCCCCCCCCCCCCCTTGGCTATCCCCCCCTTTCGCCCAGCCCGACAGGAGTGCCCCTGGCCCCAGGTACCCCCCAGGACTCTCGGTGTGGCCCAGACGGCCTCCAGGGCGCCCCTCGGGGCTCCAGAAGGGAGCGAGAGAAGCTGGGGGGCGCCTCGGGCCGGGGGGCCCTTCCAGCAGCACCCGACGTCTTCTTCTCCTGCTGGCCCTGGCAGCGGGCGTCCCTGGCTGTCCGCGCGCCGCGCGGCGCGCACGGCTGCTCGGCGCGTCGCGGCCCCCTCTCGGTCCCTGGCTGTCCGCGCGCCGCGCGGCGCGCACGGCTGCTCGGCGCGTCGCGGCCCCCTCTCGGCGTGGCGTCTGCCCGCGCGCGGGGGCGCGGGGGCGCGGCGCTCGCTCGCGCCCGCTGCCGCGGCGCGGCCGGACAACGAAAATACAGCACCGGTGCAGCCTTGCAGTGGAGACCCAGGCCAAGAAGCGCCCTGCCAGCCTCCAGGGTGCCCTGGGTTTCTTGGGCTTCGGTGGTTTGCCGGGGGAAGCGCGACGTTCCCACACCAAAAGTCCATGGGACGTCCTGGGGCCTCGGGGTCGGGCTATGGAGAGCGTGTTTTTGCCATGGAGAGCGGGGCGTTCCCACGGCAGACATCAGCGGGCGTCCTGGGTCTCAGGGTGGGGTTTCGTGTGAGAGGTTTCTTCTTGTGGTCGAGCCCCTGCTGTATCTCCTTTCTGTGGGCCTTGCTCGTGCTGGAACCTGCAGGGCGGGAGTCACGGTGGTCTTTTGCAGGGGTTGCAACTGGCGTGCGGCAAACGGACCTCGCAGTCGGTGGATGTTCGGGACTACGAGCAAGACGCCGAAACAGGTGGCACGCGTGCCCTGGCTCTTGCACAAAGGAGCTGGGGGAGGGCAGGGAGGCCAGGGGGGGAGGCCTGGGGCCAGGACCAGGGGGAAGGTCAGGGAGGCTGGGGGGGGAGGACGAACGACGAACGAACGAACGAACGACGACGAGCGAAAATAAGGAGGTCCGAGCTCTAGAACACAGCTGCACAAGAGAGAAGGGACCACTTTGGGCTCAGGAGAGGCTTTGGTGTTCGGGCCGTTCCCTGGATGCAGGTCACGGAGCCTCTGCGGCTCGCCGTGGCCTGAAGAGCCCCTTCGCTCCGGCGCGGATTCGACATGAACTCGACGTTGGTTCGACGTTCAACATGTATTCGCCGTGGATTCGACGCGGATAGCGGGGCGATTGGGCAGACAAGGTCCCCCGAAGATGCAGCATAGTTTGTTGGGACCATCTCCTGCCGTTGGGGAGTATCCTGGGGGCATCTGGGG